TATCTATCTATCTATCTGGGTGAAATGAGGACCCGGACTGTGGGGGCGATATGCTGACTCTGTGAACCGCTTAGAGAGGACTGAAAGCCCTATGAAGCGGTATATAAGTCTAACTGCTATTGATATTGCTGTAACCCAACTAGGCGACATCATCAGTACTGATATAACCCCACTGCCTTCTAGCACTGAAGGAGTTACCTAGTTTGGTCATGAAACATCTTCAAAAAAACCCAACCAAGCTCAGAGAGCACCAAGCCCCCCCCCTCCTCCTCCTCCTCCTCCTCCTCTTCCTCCTCCTCCTCTCCCCTGAAAATCCCACTCCCTTCTATCACTGATGATGTTACCTAGTTGGGTAATGAAACGCCCGCCAGTAAACAACCAAACTCAGAGAGAACAATCAACCCATGGAACAGAAGTTGCCTTCAGAGGTTGCGGGAGCTTCATCCTTGGAAGCGTTCAACCAGAGACGGGGCTGCCGTTGGTCAGAAACGGTGTAAGGTCGGTCTCCTGCTTGGGCCCCCGGGGGTTGGAGTAGATGGCCTACAAGGTTCTTCCCAATTCTGTCCATCTGTTAAAAGACGTAAGTATCCAGCCTTGAAACGTGGCCTGTCGTTATTCTTCCAGCGATCTGGACATGCCGTTTGCTAAGTGGAGGAAAGAGCAAATTTGCACCTGGCTTCAGGAACAGGGGCTGGGTTTTTACATCGGCAATGGAAAACATTGGATTCTGTCCGGTCAGACTCTCTTGCAAGCATCCCAGAGTGATTTAGAGAAGGTAAGACATTTATTTTCTCCCTCCCTCCACCCAGACGCAGTTGACTGAGAGTTGTGGGGTCCTTGGTGCTCTGGGAGGTGGGTTCTTTATGACCCAACTAGGGATTATCATCAGTGCTCATCTTCGGATGACGTTCCCTAATCACGTCTGCAAGAAGACAACACACCTCCAAGAACACCAAAGACCCTCACAATTCTACCTTGAGGTGCAAATATTCTCTTCTGACTTGAGAGTTGTAATGAAAGTCGGCTGAGTAGCCATTCATCTACTCTCTGGACTCACGTTTGAGAACTAAGGCTGCCATCTTGTGTCCATAAGGGAGATGTATGTACGCGTGTATTATTTTTTCTGAGTGCAGAGAATCTTACGTTAAAAAGAGAAAACAGGATATTGAAAATTAGTATGCTGGTTTAAATAAAGGAAACTTCAATAACTATTTCGCAAATGCAATTAAAACACAGAAGGAATTTCATTATATATGTAAGTGTGTGTGTATGTTTGCGTATGTATTTATATTTATATATACATATATACATACATATACACACACAAACACACACACACACAGACATCAACTTGCAAATTGAGCTCAGCTATTTAAAATTAGTATAGTAGTTTAAATAAAGGAAATTTCAATAACTATATAGCAAATGCAATTAAAACAGAAGGAATTTCATTATATATGTAAGTGTGTGTTTGCGTATTTATATTTATATATACATACATACATACATACATATATACATACATACACACACACACAAACACAAACATCAACTTGCAAATTGAGCTCAGCTATTTAAAATTAGTAGACTAGTTTAAATAAAGGAAATTTCAATAACTATATAGCAAACGCAATTAAAACACAGAAGGAATTTCATTATATATGTGAGTGTGTGTTTGTGTATTTATATTTATATATACATACATACACACACACACACAAACATGAACTTGCAAATTGAGCTCATCTATTTAAAATTAGTAGACTAGTTTAAATAAAGGAAATTTCAATAACTATATAGCAAACGCAATTAAATCACAGAAGGAATTTCATTATATATGTAAGTGTGTGTTTGTGTATTTATATTTAAATACACAAATACACAAATACACAAATATTTATGTATGTATTTATATACATACATACATATATACATACACACAAACACACAAACACAAACATCAACTTGCAAATTGAGCTCAGCTATTTAAAATTAGTAGACTAGTTTAAATAAAGGAAATTTCAATAACTATATAGCAAACGCAATTAAAACACAGAAGGAATTTCATTATATATGTAAGTGTGTGTGTGGTGTATGTGTACACATACACACAACACATATCAACTTCCAACTACAATTGAGCTCAGCTATTTAAAATTAGCATACGTTGTTTAAAGAAAGTACACTTCAATAACTATATAGAAAATACAAAAAAATTAAAACACAGAAGGAATTTCATTATATATTGAAGTGTGTGTGTGGTGTATGTGTACACATACACACAACACATATCAACTTCCAACTACAATTGAGCTCAGCTATTTAAAATTAGCATACGTTGTTTAAAGAAAGTACACTTCAATAACTATATAGAAAATACAAAAAAATTAAAACACAGAAGGAATTTCATTATATATTGAAGTGTGTGTGTGGTGTATGTGTACACATACACACAACACATATCAACTTCCAACTACAATTGAG